ACGAATGTCACCATACCGGCGCCTGTAGAGTGCAAAGGGTTAATGACCTGAGTAAATATAAAGGCTAATTTTTTCTATGGATTCCAAGAGAAAATTCTGTTAAAAGTCGGCAGTATATTATCATTTTAAATGAAAACTTGGAAATTTCGAATTCTTCGAAGTTCCGTCATTTTACATCGAGTGTTTGTAGTCCGTAGTTTGATAAATACGCTCACTTCCGTGAACTTCTTCTTTTTCTTCCTTTTGCGAGAAACTTTCAAACTTACAAGGACTGAAAGTAGCTTTTAATTAATTGGGTTTATTTAATAATGGAAAAGCAGAAATTGGAGCACCGCCGTGCGCCAAGCTTGCAAAGCTGAAATTCTTTGAAGGTAGGAGGGAAAAATTTCATCTTCTGACAAATGCAGACGGGAGAAATGCTTGTCATTTTGCCTGAATTGCTCACAGCCTGCTCTCTACCGTGCATCACGATTCTTCAGTTTTATGTACCGTCGTCTATACGTCCCCCTTTGTAACTTCGAACAGGAATCAAAGAGTATTTTTATATGTTCGTTTCGAGTCTATTTTATGCATGAAGACGTGCAATAGTAAGATATTGCGCGTGCCTTTGATTTGGAAATCCGACTCACGATCACGAAATTTCAATCCCCTAATCGATTACGTTGTGGCATTCTATTGTACTTGCTAATCTTTTTCATTGAACTATCAAGCTGTTTGGCAATGCTGGTCGTTTCAATGTTCAGAGAAATAATCGATATTGCTTTGCAATGGAATCATAATACTCGACGGTTTGTATTAAACTTCTCATATAATAAATATGATTAATGAAAAATATTGCAACTGAGTTCAGTTTCAATTTATCAAGGAAGATACATACTTTCCATACTAACGTGAGTATATTGTGTATCGAGATGTTTGGAAACTAAGAGAAATTAATAACATTCGAGAATTAAAAAATCAAATCAAAAGGTAGAATAAATTTGGGATTTTACATCGTCTGTACTCAAAACCGTAAAACGAAAGAAACTATAAAATTTTAACGTCAATTTAGAGTACTGTCTCATTCTTTTTACTCACGAATATTAACCTTTACTTTATAAAAATGAGTCAGACTCGTAACACAGATTCTGGTCCAAGCTTAATTTTAATTCTAGCTTCAGTTTTAATTTACAACATTGAAGATTACCAAATGTAAATATTTGGTAATTTATAATTTGTAATTATTTTCTCTAACTACGGTGGTACGAAAAAATTTGTACGCATAATATAAATGGCTTCAAAGGATGAATAAGATAGGAGAAAAATTTTTTCATAAATGCCATCCTTTTCACTTTTCTTCCAGTTCACCTCTGTTTTTTTACATAAATGTATGTTGTAGCAGACGTTGATATGCATTTAAACATGCATAAAAATATAACCTTGGATTTTCTAATTTTACATCAAACGTGAAACTTCCTCTCAGTCTTCGCCATTTCTTCCATCCTATTCACCCTTTGGAATCATTTAAGTTACTTGCAAAAAATTGTCTCATGCCAGCGTAGCTTATATAGAGAAGATAACAAGCTGACCTGTTTTACGTGGCCCACCCTGTATAATACATTAGCCGTTCTCACCAGACGCAGCATTAAAACAGCAAATGGCTGACGTTTACATGCATAATCAGTAAAAAAATCGTAAAGTCATAAGTGAAGGGGTTAAATTAGACAAGGATGTAATATAAAACAAACTATCAAAGCTACCAGGAGCATCATCGTAAACTCCGAAGTACCTCGAACTTCAACCGCCTTCTCATCAGCGAAAACCTCATCTACCGCCATCGACGAAGAGAGCATAGTACTTGCGCGAGACCAGAAGCTACCCATGCTACGATAGCATAATATCGCCGGTTCGAGGGGTTGGCTTCGTCAGTATTCCATAAAAACCTCGCAGGCCTCTTTAAACCGGTAGACTCGAATCACGAAGCTTCCTAAAGGAGGGAGAGACGAGGGAGGGACAGGGGGCAGTCGAGTGAAGATGCTTCGTTAATCGATTATCGTTATTAGGTTACCGTCGAGAAGTGGTCTGGCTGCTGGTGAAGCTTTGTCTCGCGCGGAAAACTCGCCGGCACCAGGCTTGGTTTCGTCGCGTCACGATTGTTCCTGGCGAAACGGAAAACACCGCGTCACGTGCCGGCGCCATAGTGAATGGACAAACGCTCATTGAATAGTTAAGATCTGCATGGCGTGCTTCCGCAACTGGACACCGCGACGCGTGTTTCGCGCGCTTTTGTTGTTTCGTCTGGTTCGTTCGTCGTTGGTTTTTCCCCACGCTGAAGATCCACGTCGACGATAGATCGTCGCGGAGGTTTTATGCGGAGGCGGCGTTAATACGAGGGACGTGCCGTGTATAGTTGGTGGAAGCGATGTGGGTTGTGAATTGAAGACAGAGTTTAGTACGAAACGAGCGTTTTTCAATTTTAAGAGATTTAAAAATTAAAAGTTTAAGAAATTTAAAGAGTAAAAGTTTAAGTTAACTTAAAAATTTGAATTTTAAGAAATTTAAACATTAGAATTTTAAGAAATTTGAAAATTAATGTTTAAAGAATGTTTAAATAAAAATTTGAAACTTATTGTGTTAAAACTTATTTTATTAAAGGACAAAAATTAAGGATTCAGTTGAGATGAAAGAAAATATTCGAAACGCCTATAGGCGCGCCAAGGGCAGCGCGAGTACATTTCCAACGCGCCTATAGGCGCCAAGGGCACCTATCCATTTTACGGATCGACGTGAATGGATCCTTCTTTGCTCGGTTTTTAGGTGATTTGAAGGATACAGAGGGAAAACTAACGTAATCCAAAAACTGTGAAAATGGGATTATGATTTACAAAGCATTGTTTTCATGAGTAATTTAAATATCGAAACTAAGTGAGAAGTTATGGAAAATTTGACGCTAACAGATCCACCCGGGTCAAAATTAGCAACTTTCCAAAAGTGAATTTATATGCAACTAATATATACGTGATTAGAAAATTAGATTCATATCGATATAAATGAAAGTTTCAACAAAATAAAATGGAGAAGTTACAAACGATGATACATAAATTTTGGCAAGTTACTAATGAGTAATTTTGACCTGGCCAGTCTTTCTAGCGACAGTACACAGTGAAGTGATTGTTTAATTAAATAATTACTTGCAGAAGTGAATTAAAAGCTGATATTATTCTAATTTGAGGGAGAGCAGCAAGCGTTAATTTAACGTTTCAAAAATATTCTCACGTGAAAATGTACAAAAGTATCCGCTTTGTAGTATCTGCGAAGTTTATATTTTTTTCTCCTGTAAAATTTCAATTTTTGATCAGTATTGCTTTTTCCCCTGTATCGTTCAATTCGCACAAATTTCACGAATACGTGACGTTACAATATCGCGACATAATTCCAGGAAAATCGTGAAAAAGTGGACTTCGTTTGATTCGAAAAGTACCGATGTTATTTATTTTACAACGCGATGTAACAAATTACATCCCCCCTCCCCCCAATGCTTTGTAACTGAAAATAAAAATCACAGATAATTCTGTTCCCTCGGATATTCCTCCTTTTCCATACAACAATTCAGTTTGTGAAACAAGTGTAATTTGACAAAAGCTGCACTACAATTTGTTAGTTCCGCATGCGAGTTTGCGAAACGCGCGGCTAATTTGCAAAACTAATTGTCTGTTTCCGTTATCAGGAAGGCACGCGAAGTGGCAGGCTCGGTTATCGGTCGAGCGTGCATAGATAATAACGGAGTGCGTGTGCCTAAGTAGAAAATTACACTAATTCGGTTACGATAATGACAATGAAAACGACATTAATTCGGTAACGATAGCAGGCATCGTGCCTGCATCGAGATAACGCGTTTAACCGCCAATTCGTACCAAGATATTCTAACTGCCGATAAGAACGTTTCAAACGTGATTAGAACAACTTGTTAATTGTTCGTGAAACAACATGTGAGACATTGTCACCGATGACTGCACATGTGTACGCGGAAAAGACACACTTTGCTGCGTTAAGTATTTTACTCTGAAACTAGTGAACTCATTGTAAACTTCAAAAAGTACACATATTTTTGTTTCCAGAAATTCAGGAAGTATATCTAATAAAAATTACAATTTTTTTGGTAATAGGTGTAGAAATTAATTTGATACTCTTTTTTAGTAAATTTCAACATTTGTTTACAAAAAATTAAACGCGATCTTAGTGTTCAGAATAATCTCCATTATGTTTGATGACTGTTGTTCCATTTATCAGGCAACTGACGAATTACATTTCTGAAAAAATGTGACGGTTTTCAGTGGATAAAGTCGTGAAGATTTTGTAAAAGAAAGGCACCGAATTAATCTCTGTTTTCCTCAATTTAGTGAAGAGTATAAATTTCTAGAGTACTATAGGGTACTTATTACTTAAATATTACTTAAATAAATTTCATTGCTCAATAACAAAATTTGTTTCATACAATACAGATCTCTTCTTTAATCTGTGAAAGAGTAACACAAAAATCTGCCTTTCATCTTGCAATAATTCCCCAATAACAATAGAAAATACGATCCACGTAATTTACAAAATTGCGCAGATAATCTATATCCGAACCTTAAATTTAAAAAAAAAAAAAACAGTTAAAAAAACCAAGAGAGGAAAAGTCTGTTTAGAAAGGCCAACGAACTCGCTGCAGCCTAAAAAAACACCTCGTTGCTCAAAACATTCAATTACTCGGTAGGAAAAACAATACCGTGAAACGTGAACAATACGCAAACACACTTAAAAATGCGTATTTAAACTCAGAGCGCATTTGAACTGTTTTCATTTAAACGCGGAGTCCGTGATTGCGCTTTTCATTAGCAGCGTTCGCTATCCTTGATGCGTTTTCAAACGCGAATTAACAGCTTCTTTGTTGCACAACCAATGAATCAGTCCGTCACTATGCGGACGAGAGTATATAAGAGCGGATATTGGACCAGTGTAAATCAGACTTGAATCAGAATTCGACTTCGATTTCGTCGTTTGATACGTTGAAAACATGGAGAAACGTGTTCTGTTCCTTTGCAACGTCTACTTGGTGTTCGTTCTTGTTAGTGCAAAACCACTTCCAGAAAATTGTAAGCTTTCGATGATACGGGGTCAATGTGAAATAGTATGAAAGATTGTGGTGAATGTTTAATAAAATGTAACGTTTCGTTTCGGTATGTAGATGAGGATTTAGCAGCTAAAGACACTGTGCGCTATCCGTACGCGTTCTGGTTAGGCAGGCCTATTTATGATCGAGATGATGACGGTGATAACACGTACTATAATTTGCAGCCTCAACGACGAACGTCTACTATATCATACGCTAGTATCGGGTAAAGTAACAGGATTTATTGCTAATTAATATATATTAATATTACAGTATAGTGTACAGTTGATACTAGTTTTATATTTAAAATATAACGTGGTATATACAGGGTGGTCTGCAAATCGGGATTCTGATAGCTTAACCCTTTCGCTGTGGCAGATTTCAGTGCGTAGCAGATGTGACTTTCGTTTTTAAGTTTGACAAAATTTTAAAATTTATCGTTTCCGAATTTCTTTTATTAAATTAAAGTGGAAGTGCGCGAAGGACGAAAATTAAAGATTAAATTAAAGTGAAAGTGTGCCTATAGACGCCAAGATCACAGCGCGAGAAAATATTCAAAATGCCTATAGGCGTGCCAAGGGCACAGCGCGCGCAAAGGAGGATGTTAAAAAAAGGCCAATTTTGACATACGGCTGGAATGAAAAACTTTTTTACAGCATGATTCTACGCATCCTAAGGAACAAAAAATGTAATTGTCATTTCTCTCGCAAATGATGGGAAAGTTATGAAAAATGCGGTTCAAGGTAAGAGTATGACCATACTTGTTGTTATACGTACATGACCAAAGATTGTTGTACATTAGTGTTTAATAAGAACCAAAAATAATGAAAAATTAATCGAAACAAGTAATTCTTTGATGACACAATGCTTATATTCTAAGCAATCAGAAAGCAATAGTTCTTTATTCTCGAAGTGATAAAAGTTATAATAAACTATCGTAAATTACTCTCAAAAGGACAGTGTAACGGTTTGAATTTAAAAGGAGCGCGTCTTTTTACCGTAATCGGCGTGCGTCCGCCGATCGGCGACCGCGCATGCGTCGGCCGAGCAGCGCTGGGAGTGGCGACCGCGCATGCGCCGAGCGAAAAAAAGTATGGCGTATTATATTGTATTAAGACCACGTACGTGGCGTTTGTTCTCGGTTTTGCCAGTGAAAGTGATATAAAATCAGAAAATTCTTTTCCCACTAACTCTTTTCTGTGCGCGAACAGACAGCTAGCTTTATGTTTGGCTCGATGTACGTACAGCGATACGTACGTGGCGTTTGTTCTCGGTTTTGCCAGTGAAAGTGATATAAAATCAGAAAATTCTTTTCCCACTAACTTTTTTCTGTGCGCGAACAGACAGCTAGCTTTATGTTTGGCTCGATGTACGTACAGCGACCCAGGCTCGCGTTTCTTATGTTTGGCTCGCAAGAAATATCCCGAGTTCTAAGAAGTGTATGTTTTGCTCGCAAGAAATATCACGAGTTCTAAGAAGTTAAGGGCTAGAATTTTTCCCAGAACAATTGCGAGCGTACAGCGATCTGAAATCGAGCAGGACGACTTGTCCTCAGTCAGTGTTTACGAGGCTGTCGAACGAGTGCGTCGACGAACGACAAACGTCGCTTATACTGCGCGATTATAGTCTTGTAGGGAATGCAGTGCTCGCTCGAACAACGCGTTTTCGATTATACGCGGATATTTTTTTGAAAAATTTTGACCTTCATTTCGAATCAATTAACACGTTTATCATATATTCACAATTTTCTCTGTTACGATATTCTACCTCCTTTGTATTCCACAACACCGATTTTTCTTCAACGAAGAGTGATTAAATCGATAATTTCATTCCTCCATCAATTTATTTTCCTGACATTTTTTACTCGCACGAGAGTTCTCTCAAGAATACGAAACTATTTCGTGTTTGGAAAGCAACTGTTCGACAATAGTATGATTACGTATCCATTCGAGAGCAAGTCTCGACACGTTTACTCTCAGGCAGTTGAGCTATGCTCTCGGACAGTCAAGCTCGGGGGCAGTGTCCACTCGCGAGAATACTCTCGAGAGCAACTCGCGATAGTTTTACTTTCAAAATGGCACGTAGCTTTATGTTTAGTTCGATATAATACAGACAACGACTATGTCTCCAGTTTCTTATGCTCGGCTCGAATTTCTTATGTTTTGCTCGAGGTTCTTACGTTCCACTAGCAAAAAACATCGCGAGCCTCGCGCAATGTTGTGGTACGTGAGGTTGACTAGGCCCAAGTTACATACGTGAGGGTCACTCACACGCCTAGGATTTTTCCCAGAATTGCTTCGTGTAATAGGGAACAGAAATCGGAAAGATCGTCACGTACGCAGTTAGTGCTTACGGGCCTACCGAACGAGTGCGTCGACGAACGACGTTTGTACCGTGCGATCA